CTGTGAGCTGTAATGCCATGGCACTCTGCCCAGGGGAACAGCTTGAGGCTCTGTCTAAAAAAAAAAAAAAAAAGGAAACTCAAACTTCTTATCTGAGCTCACACAGCCTCAAAATGGCAGAGTTGAAATTCAAACCTAGATCTGTCTAAGTTCACAGTTACCACAAGGGCTCTTAGTCCTGGGGCTCCTGCTCAGCTTCCAAACTGCCTTCTTTCCCCTCCTAGCAAGTGTAACCTAGAAGGAACTACCTCCAGGCAATTCAGCTTCCCCCAAAAGAGAGGGTGCTTTTGAATATGTCTATCCAATATTGTGCCTGATATAAAGTTTTACTCATTTAAACCCCCTTTTCTAAAAACCTGCTACAGTAGTGCAGGAAGATGGGCATAGAGTGAGTGTTCACAAAAGCTTTCACTGGGATCTATGCAGGGTGAGATCACTGGGGACACACCAGCCTCAGACTTCAAAGAGCAGAGCTGCACTTGGGGAAAAAGGCCGCTGTAGTTCCCCTGGGCCTCTCACATGTTGTACCAAATTCTTGGGAGCTGAGAGACAAGATCACAGAGATTTCTGCTCTCTGGCCAGCCAAATAGGAGGGGCTCCCTGGCGCCCCATGGATTCATTCTTGAATACTTTTTGTACAATTAAATTGGGTTCAGACACCTCATTTGCTAATAACTATTTGGAAAAATTACAATTTGCCTTTATCTGTCAAACATCAATAAAACTTTGATCAATAAGAAAGTAGGGGGCGGTGCCTGTGGCTCAAAGGAGTAGGGCATCGGCCACATATGCCTGAAGTGGCAGGTTCAAACCCAGCCCCGACCAAAAACTGCAAAAAAAAAAAAAGATAAAAAGAAGAAAGTAGGAACATCTAGAGGGGAACAGAGGAATGTCTTCCAAGGGGATAAATTATAAATACTTGCAAAACTTTCCAAAAGACACCTGTCTTCTTGTACTTACAGCCTGATTTGTTTCTCTGAATGCTTCTTCTTAATGTTCATTCCTTAGTAATATTTTTTCTTTTGTCTTTAGTGGAAAAAGCTACTATCCGACCAGCTAAAAGCATGGACTCACTGTGTTCAGTGCCTGTGGAAGGTGAGATTTTCCAATTAGTTTCTGAGCTTGGGATCACACCTGGGAGACTGGAGCTGGCACCTGACTTGCCTCTATAAGCTGCTGTATCTGCTTATCTGCAGTCACAATCACATACTGTTGCCTGGTCCCAAATCCCTCCCTGACACTTCCCAAACCCAAACCCTTATCAAGGCATCCCCTGCTCTCCCACAAGGGTAAGCCTAAAGAGCCTTCCTCTAGCGGCAGAGGGAGACCACCACTACTGTTCATTCAAACTTGCAGCAGGTAAAAGGTCAACAACACGTGAAAGTGATGGCAGATGAGGCTTCCCCTTGTAGATGCTCTACATGTGTTGAATTTGGATGTTTCCATATGCATATTCTTTTCTTTTTTTTTTTTTGAGGCATAGTCTCACTACGTTGCCCTCTGTAGAGTACTGTGACATCATAGCTCACAGCAACCTCCAACTCTTGGGCTTAAGTGATTCTCTTGCCTTAGCCTCCCAAGTAGCTGGGACTACAGGCACCTACTACGTGCTTCAGGCATCAAGCCCCACATGCACTTTCTTCATAGTGCTTTTCAGCTCATGATTTTGAGTCAGTAGCTTTGTTTGCTTATTCATTCTTTCATTCATTCATTCATTATTTATCAGTAAACACTGATTAGGCACCAGCTATGTGTCAGGCATGTGCAAATTATAGTATAGTATACTTTGTTGGAGTAGATGTGTGTGCACTTACACATAAGATGATGCCCATCACCATACCAACACACAACCATATTTGTTCTCACAGCTGTAGCCTTAAGGGCTGACTTGCCTGTATCTCTCTGTCTCTCCCTTCAAAAGTAAACAACAAGTACCATTACCAGTTATAAGACAAAGGACTCGTCTGGCAACAGACTGTTAAAACTCCTGTATATTTATCCCAACCTCTTTAGTATAAGACATTTTTCTCAGCTCGGCGCCTGTGGCTCAAGTGGCTAAGGCGCCAGCCACATACACCTAAGGTGGCGGGTTCAAATCCAGCCCGGGCCCGCCAAAACAATGACGGCTGCAACCAAAAACTAACCAGGCGTTGTGGGGGGTGCCTGTGGTCCCAGCTCCTTGGGAGGCTGAGGCAGGAGACTCTCTTGAGGTCAGGAGTTGGAGGTTGCTGTGAGCTGTGATGCCACAGCATTCTACCCAGGGGAACAGCTTGAGGTACAAAAAAAAAAGACATTTTTCTCTTTGAAAAACAAAGCAGCCTGAAACAATCCAGAAAATCTTTAGGACAACTGCTTTTTGGATTTTGGGTTTTTTGTTTGTTTTTGTTTGTTTGTTGGGTTTTTTGCCTTACATAGATTCCTAAGAACAATGTTTAAAATAATTCCAAACTGGAGCTCCAGTGGCACAATCAGTTAGTGCATGGTTCTGATAAAATAATTCCAAACTTGTATAATATTCAGTGAGATAGTGTTAAGCTGACTTTTAGAATTTTCTCACTTTTATATTCATCCATTAGCTTTGTTTCAGAAACCTCTTAGGTCAGTTCTCATCCAGTTTTGCAGAACTTAATATTTCAAGCCACATTTCAAAGTATGACTTAAGTGAATGTTGGGCAGGTCATCTAACCTCTGAGTCTCAGTGTCCTCCTAAGGGAGGATACTGAGATAATTACACTGGGAGATAATTACACTGCCCTGACAGGGTGAACACAAGCATTTTAAACAGTCAGGGCACAACGCCTCAAACTTACAATCCTAGCACTCTGGGGGACCAACATGGATGGATTGCTTGAGCTCAGGAGTTTGAGACTAGTCTGAGCAAGAGTAAGACCCCATCTCTTAAAAAAAAAAAAATAGCTGGGCTAGTCCCAGCTACTCAGGAGGCTAAGACAAGAGGATCACTTGAGCTCAGGAGTTGGAGATTGTTGTGAGGGATGACGCCACGGCACTCTTCCAAAGGCAACAGAATAAGATTCTGTCTCAAAAAAAAAAAAAAAAGAAGAAGAAGAAGCATTTTAAACATAACGTTCCATAAGACATTCAATATAGTGCTTAACATAAATTAGAAATTATTTTCTAGATCCCTTGCAACTCACAAGTCATCCCCAAGCTGATTTTTTCTTTTTGATTTCATTTCTAAGGCAGTCCAGAACTCATTCCTCACTGCTATGGTTTTGAACATTCTGTTAATTTACATTCCTAGTTTCTCATCCCCTGAATCAACAGGAAGAAGTCTGGGCAGAGAGGGGAAAGGTCTAGCTGAGAATGGCATTTGTTTCCTTGCTGGGAAATCAAACCCCTGTCTGGGTCCATCTGCCAGAGAAGACTTAAAACAATAAGTTTTGGAGTTCTAAAATAAAGCCAAGTTGTTATTTTTCCTTTTTTGTCTTATTCATTTTGAGTAAATATCATTCTCCATCTCCTATCTGTTTATTTTTTTGTGGTCTACACTTAACGCCTGGTAGATGATAACTCTGTTTGACGGTATTAGCAGTGACTTTTTAGAAACTGTTCTTACCTGCAGCGTTTAAAACTGACATATGTCACAGCAGCAAATACTGCTATGAGAGCATCATGCCAAAATTCTGCACATGTGAGGAAATGCTTTCTCTTGTCAGCCAAATCTGTGTACCTGTGTTATATAGGTGGCTATGCTGCTATTAGAATGACATGCCTGTCCGATATTCACATATCTGTGGTTCTGCATGTGCCCAGGCTGCTGATATATGCGCTTGTTCTTTTTCACTAGGAAAAGAAACCACAGGAAATTTCAATCGAACAGTCACCACTGGTGGATTTTTCATTCCAGCAGCAAAAATGCACTCGACCAGCACTGGCAGCTCATGTGACCTCAGCAAGCAGGAGAGAGAATGGGGCCAGGAGGGGATGCCTGCAGGGGCTGAGGGTGGCTTTGATGTGAGCAATGACCGGAGCCAGCTCCTGGGTGCTCAGGCCCGGCCCCCACCTGAGCAGCTGAAGGTATTCCGGGCCATTGAGGATCCCGAGGGTGAGCAAACAGCCCCAAAGCTGCTGGGCATGTTCTACACCTCGAGCGACAGCCCCAGCAAGTCCGTCTTTACCAGCAGCCTCTTCCAGATGGAGCCCTCCCCGCGTCACCAGCGCAAGGCACTGAACATCTCTGAGCCCTTTGCGGTGTCTGTGCCACTCCGCGTCTCAGCTGTCATCAGCACCAACAGCACCCCGTGCAGAACACCGCCAAAGGAGCTGCAGTCGCTTTCCAGCCTGGAAGAGTTTTCTTTCCAGGGCTCAGAGAGTGGAGGTTGGCCAGAAGAGGAGAAGCCACTGGAAACTGAGACTTCTACAGGTAAAGAAGGGCAGAGAAGGTCTCTTTCCATTGTAAGAAATAAAAACCAGGCATAATAGGGTTTGCAAAGCAACGTAGTGAGGCAGTTAAGATTGAGGGCTGTAGAGTCAGAGTACCTATGTGCAAATCCAGGCTCTACCATTTCCCTTTGTGATCTAAAGATCACAAAGCAAGTTAACAAGGGCTGGGCACGGCAGCTCACACCTGTAATCCCAGCATTTGGGGAGGCCAGGATCACTTGAGCCCAGGAGTTCAAGGTTACAGTTAGCTATGATGGTACCACTGTACTCCAGCCTGGATGACAGAGTGAGATCCTATCTCTAACATAAATTCAAAATACATTCAAAAAGACAGCAGGTTAAACATAACCACTCTGTGCCTCAATTTCTTTTTTTTTTTTTTTTTT